GGACTTGGTGCATTCAAGACAAGCACTCTACTATCAGAACTACATCACCACCCCTTAGTAAATTGTATTTTTATTCTGGCATGATTCCTTCAGTTTGGGGATTTCCTCTTCAAATTGGCTTAAAAATCAAATTGAGGGGCTGGAGAGATGACTCAGCAGTTAAGAACACTGACTACTCTTGCAGAGGACCTGGGTTCAAACCCCAGAACCCATTTGGTGGCTAACATCCATCTGTAACTCCAGTTCCAAGGGATCTGACGCCCTCTTCTGTCTTCCTCGGGCATTGCATGACATGGATGCATTTACACACTAGCAGGTGTACACTCATACACATAAAATAATAAATAAATAAACTTCGTGTTAGGGTGCACACCTGCATCAAACACCCAGGAGGCTGGCACTCAAGGAGCGGCGTTGGAGACCAAACAAAACCAGATTAGGCTAGAACATCTAGACCAAGTGATTGTCATCAGACTCTTCTGTTAGAATCCCAGTGATTTTTATCCTCATTCACCTCTTCCCTTTCCTGATTTTCCCTCCAGGAATTAGTGCTCTACCTGGGGGCCTCTGCCCCTGCTCTCACGTCACAGCCTGTGTATCCAGTGTTCTCTTTAAAATCATCAGTGAGGTTCACCTGCTCTGTTATGAAGACCTTCCAGCCATCTGCCACAGGGACTGACTTTCTGCTGCTTTGCCAGGCTTCCCTTGCTCTCTGTTTCAGTCACCCTGGCTTCCTTTTGCTTCTAGAATAGTCTGAGTTCTCCTGGTTCCTGCACCTGCTCCTGGCTGTTCCCTCTCTTTAGGACAGTTCTCTCCAATGCTTTGCAGAGCTACATTTGTCTTTTTTCTTTCTTTCTTTTTATTTATTTATTTATTTTTTGGTTCTTTTTTTTTGTCTCCCTGTAGCCCCAGCTGTCCTGGAACTCACTATGTAGACCAGGCTGGCCTCAAACTCACAGAGATCTTCCTCCCTCTGCCTCCCTGGTGCTGGGATTAAAGGCGTGCGCCACCATGCCCGGCTTCCTTTGTCTTTTTGTTTCCAGCTTAAATTTGTTGTCCAGAAGAACAACTTTCTTGTCCACAGTTCAGTTTATTTCTTGGGTAGTTTATTCCAATCTAACCCTTACCTAGGCAGTAAAGTCTGTAACACGACATAGCCCAGGAGCCTAGATGATGTTTGACTTCTATAGTCAGTACAAAATCAGTGTCTGTACTGGGATTGGAAGGATGAGCCCACACCTGCTGTGTTGTAAACTCCAGCCATGCACCCTACCTGGGAAAGTTCATGAGTTTTTCCTACAAGAATTTCAGAATGCGGCAGACCAGCATTATACCAAAGCAAACAGTTATGGTGAAAGAGAGCGAGCCTGGGGCAGACCTGCTGTCGCTAGATTCTAATGATGAGGGATTTTTGAACGTTATCTTTTGTTTGTTCTTTTATCCAGAAATATAAACCCTTAGCCTTACCGTTTCCTTAACTTAGCTCTATGAACTTAAAGCGATTCCCCTGTAATAAGGATCACCTGACATGGCAGGTGTTCATTTCATGAAGGGATACATGTGACAGTTTTTTTTTGTTTTTTTGTTTTTTTTTTAAAGAAAAACATGGGTCTCTTTTTTTGGCCTTTGGTACAGAGCATGTTGCTAAAGAGGCCCAAGGACATTTTGACCTTTAGCCAAGAAACTGGCTACTTTTCTTTGGGGTCTTTTTTACCCTAACTGCCTAGCCAACTCTTATCTCCTATTCTTAACACGCCATCCTCCGAAGAGGTTACCCAAATTGCGAATAGGGAATCGGGACACAGACAGCTCTGGCTTCTTCCATGCTGAACAGGGACGCAGGGTGAGGCAATTGGACATTTCTGCAAAGAAACATATGCATGCAAATATGTTGCCATTTCTGTGATGTTTTTTAAAAAATAATTTCCTATGAAATAAGTTATGTGCTCTTTCATTTATATTTCTTGAAAATATTTTCAAGTGACAGTTTTCCAATAAAATGTGGACATTCTTTAAAAAATATATATTATTAGTAAACAGAATCAACATTGTTTAAAGCTATAACCATTGAGCACAGTTTTGTGAGCGCTCAGTGTCATGTATGTTTGCTCCTGGCATGATCAGTTCAGCTTGGTACCCATGAGCTGTGGAGGCTCTTGATTTTGTACTGTAGACAGTTCTATAAAAAATGATGATGTCAGGCATTCTGTACCTCTAATCGCACCACTCAGGAGTCTGAGCAGGAAGCTATCTGTGTTTGAGGCCAGCCTTGTCTACATAGTGAGCTTTGTCTAGTTAAAGTGGCATAGTCAGACCTTGTCAGAAAAAAAAAAAAAAAAAAAAAAGATTATCCAGGCTGGAGACGTAGCTCAGCTGGTAGAGTGCTTGCCTAGCATGTATGAAGCCCAGCACCACGTAAGCGGAGGTCCTGGCATCTGTGATACCATCAAAAGTGGACTAGTGAGGATCAGAAGTTCAAGCTCATCCTTGGCTATATATGAGTTCCAGGCCAGCTTGTGCTATGTAGTGAAACCTGTCTCAAAATAAACAAATACCACCACTGACAACAAAGACCCAACAAAAGACATGATCAAAAACTCCTCTTGTCATTCATATCTATTGGCAGCAGGTCCACTCTAGGCTTGCTGTCTTTCACTGTAAAAAGAAAAATTCAATGTTCACCTTAATCCCAGTAGGTGAAGCCTGATGCTATTAAATCTCTTTGACTACTTATCTTCCTGAAATGGGTGTAGAGGAAGTGTCTTATACTCACTCACATGATAAGCTAGTAGAAGTATATAATTTTTAAAGTTTGTTTATTTTTTTGGTCTTTTTGAGACAGGGTCTCCCTGTAGCCCCAGCTGTCCTGGAACTCACTATGTAGACCAGGCTGTCCTCGAACTCACAGAGATCCCCCTGCCTCTGCCTCCCGAGTTCTGGGACTAAAGGCGTTTGCCACTCCTGGCCGATCCAGTAGAAGTTTTAACCCCAAAGAAATCTGTCACATTATGCTCAATGTCTTTAAGAAGGCTATGCTTGGTTTATTTAATTATTTATTTGGTTTCACAATTATTTATTGGTTTCACAATAACTGCTAGAAACATTATTCTTTGAACAGTGCAGCACCCTCTAGTTGCCAGAACAGGAAGCAGTTATACCAGTTTTGAGTCTTACACATGCTCCAAACTCTGTAAGTTTCCATGGGCTGTTAGTAACACCTGGAAGGGCATGGAGCACAGCAAGGCTCTACTTCGCCTTGCGGAGATGGCTGTTTCTTATCCTAAACTTCTGTTAGCACAGACTGTAGGCTAGTTTTGTTTGCTCAGACTGCTCCCCTTTTAGCATGGGCTACTAGTAAACATTTATTAGGGTGATGTTCGTTGAGTGACAGAACAGTGGTATAATAATTAGTTAGAGTCAGAACATTGGGACAAGTAGAATCCGTTTTCACTTCTGCCCCTACCTCAGCCACAGTGCTGGGTTCTGCACTCTATTCCTGTTTTGGATTTATTTATCTGCGAGGTCAGAAGGTTGCCCCATGTAATTCAAAGACCATTTATCCAGAAAACATCTTAAAGTGGACCTGATCTCCAGGCCTGGAGTCTGACCTAAAATGAAGATCTTTGCTGCAGCTTTGGAAATAAGGAAATTTATAATGTTCCCAGTTGCTAATATTTCCCTGTAATTGGCTTAAAGGAGCAGGAGTAGATACCATCTAGCAAATAATCCAGGAATTGGAGAAACTCAGTTTTCACACAAAGCACGTGATGGTGTGGCTGGGAGATAAGGGTGGAATTCCTGGAGAGCTGTCTTTATTCATAAGGAACTCCTGAAGAGGCAGTCACCTTAGGAAAGACTGTGAACAGGCAGCTGCAGCTCTTGCTGAATTGGTGGTAAGTACAGTCTCCTTCAGACTTACACTGAAAAAACTCCTTGGAGTTTCTGTATTCTATGGAATTATATATGGCATTATGTGGGATTTTATATGGGACATTATGATAATGATGATTGGGTCTGGAAATTAGGGCAAGTCAACATCAAGAAGAGTGCTTCGGATTTTTTTGACAGGTAGATGCTCATTTAAATGAAACAATAGACTTATATCTTCCTAAAACAAGGGACTCTAGATAGGCTGACTAGACTCAGCAGGTGGACTTGCACTGGGGAACTGACAACAAAGTGGACAGTAGCAGGGATGACAGAGTATATGGGCTCCAGTGGGGTGGGAGGAGCTATGGGAGGATGCCAGTGGGGATGAGGGTATAAAGATGATTGTTTGAGATGTTCTGTATGAAATATGCACAAAAATATCAATAAAAATTATACACATTCAGAGATCCGTCTGCCCCTGCCTCCCAAATGCTGAGATTAAGGGCGTGCACCACCACACCTGACAATTTTTTTTTTAATTGAGATGGTCTCAGTGACAGGTGCTTGTCATCCTAGCACTCAAGAATCAGAGGCAGCTAGGGAATGAGTTGAGGCCAACCCAGACTCCTGAGCTTGGGCTACTCTCTAAAAATATACCAGTGGGCAAAGCATACCTCTAGAGGCATAGGCTGGCATAAGTTTGAGGTTAACATGGCCTATAGAGCAAGTTCAATGGCAGCAAGGGCTGCATGGTGAGACCCCCAGCTCTTCAAAACAAAACAAAACGAAAAAAAAGAAAATAGGAAACAGCTTAAAAGTAGCAAGTATATCCATTAAATAATTCTTCTAAGGAAGAATATGCTAACAAGAATGTATATAGTATTAAAATTTAAGTCACACGTTCTATTAGAAGAAAAAATGCCAAGAAGAGCAGGGGCTGTAGCTCAGTGTAGAACGTTTACTTCACATGGGGCTGTAGCTCAGTGTAGAATGCTTACCTTGCATTCTGAATGCCCCATGTTCAAATCCCAGTACAGCCAAAAAAGAAAAGTTGAAAAGAAATTAATAAGTAAAAGCAAAATCTTAGAAATATTCGGTGCTTATTCTCCATTTCTTCCTGTTCATCACAGGTGCTGTGGACTGCTTGAAACAAGTGACTGGAAGAATGGGTCACCCTGTCACACTGCCATGTACTTACAGAGTGTCTGGGAGAGTCACCACTATGTGTTGGGGCCGACAGTTCTGTCCTCTTTCTAAATGCTCAAAACCAATTGTTTTTACTGATGGACATCAAATTTCCTATAGGAAGAGTGTCCATTACAGGCTAAAGGGGGGATGTTCAAAAGGAAATGTATCTTTGACCATTGAGCATGCTCATGAGAGAGACAGTGGTGAGTACTGTTGTCAAGTGGAGATCCCAGGATGGTTCAACGATCAGAAGCTCAATTTCTTTTTGGATGTTATACCAGGTAAGCTTGCCTCGTTTCCTTTCATTATTTCTTCCAAGTAAATAGTACTATCTCTGCTATTAATGTGTTCTCTTCCTGGAACAGGGAAACACAAGGTTTGCTATTAACAGTTGCTTTTGATTTATTATTATTTTTTTGAGACATAGTCTCATGGCTGGCTTCCAATGGCCTTGAATCCTGGGTCCTCCAGCCTTATTATCTCCAGTGCTGAGAGTCCACCTTTGAGCCTCCACTCCCAGCCTCAAATCTTTGCTTTTGAGGAACAGAATAACATTTATTTGCTTGGATGAAGTCCTAAGACCAACCTTATTGTGTGTGTGTGTGTGTGTGTGTGTGTGTGTGTGTGTGTGTATGAGTAAGTGTATGCGTGGTTATATGCACCATAGGTTACAAGACAACCTATGGAGCTGGCTCTCTCCTTCTGCCTGTATATGAGTTCCAGGTATCTAATTCAGGTCAGTGGCCTTGTAGAGTAAATGCCTTTACCACTGAACCATCTTTCTGATTTATTGATTCGTGAATGGATGGATTGCAACACAAGGTCTTGATGTGTAAATCAGGTTGACCTAGAACTCTTTCCCCCTGCCTCAGCCTCCTGAGTGCTGGGATTACAGGAATATGCTGTGTGTGGAAGGTAATTTAATGAAGTCAAAGGAAACTGGGATACACTGTGTAAAGATGGAGAAAAGCAGCTTTGTGGGAAGAAATAATAAGGTTCTAATTATGTTTTTGCAGTTTTGAAATTATAATATTGACATGGCTGTAGTGCAGCCCCTCTGTCCTCCTCTGGAATCCACACATACACACACAACCTCCCCAACACATAAACATAACTTAAAATAATAAAAACAAGTCTTTTTTAAAAATGCCACAGGCACTCTGTAGAGCATTTTCGTAGCATGCCTACAGCCCTAGATTCAATCTCCAGGACTGCAAATACAAACAAACAAACAAAACCAACAAATCAATTAAAACGAAATAAGGCCTAGGATATGGCTTGGCGGTACAGCTCTTGCTTAGCATGCATCCGTAACACCTCGTGTTTACATTCTCAGCACTGGAAAAAAGCAAAGCAAAAAAAGGCATTGGGTCATAAAATGAAATTAATTTAAGCTAATTAAGCTTTTATGAAACTTAGAAATTCTTTGACAACAAAATCACAGCTCTACCACGCAGCAAGTCCGTAA